GCTCATACTACACTTCTGTACATTTTTGTGTACAGATCCAGGTATTTGGTCGATAGTAGCTGTGCGGGTCGTTGCGGTGGAGATTCAAGGTAAACCTGCTACAGCGTTCGCAGGCCTTAGAGTCACCTTCATTTGTACTTATTTTTATTTGTTCCTTTTGTTTCGGAGCAGTGATGTATTTATTTTGTATAACTACTCTTAGAAAGGCTTGTGACTTGTACCACCGGTTTTGGGAATTGTAATTTGTTCAGAGTAATTTAATTTAAAGTTAGTAAATATCAATGTTATTTCAGTTTATGTTAGGTTTACCTAGTTTAGAGATTATGTGCCATCACGATTCCTTCGGAGGGATTTAGGCAATAACTTATTTGGATAAAATTCATAAATAGTCACTTTTCAACTTTTGTACTGAAAAATAACCACTATCCTGAAATTTAAAATTTCACACGTAAAATTCCAGGATAATATCATGGAATTTCACTTCCGGAATTTAAAACGTTATGGCAGTGGCTATTTTTTAAAGGCATGGCAGAAAAGTGACTACTAGGTATTATTTCTACCAATCTTATTGGACGAGGCTTTTGCTGGATAAAGTACACAAATAGCCACTTTTCAGCTAGTAATTGGAAAATAACCACTATCATAGAGTTTTAAATTCCATATGTGAAATTTCTGGACATTATCATAGAGTTTCAACTATAAAACTCGAAACTCCATAATAATGGTTATTTTCAATTACAGAGCTTAATAGTGGCTAATTCACGCTATTACTACACTTTTGCTCTAGAAATTTCTGAAACCCACATCTACATGAATAATGGAAAAACTACATTCTATAGTCACTCCAAAAAATAATAGCCGGCAAAATTGATATTTTATATATATATGAATGTACAATATACATATTTTATGCATAATCAATGTATATTTTGATATATTTGGCTAGCGATATAATTATTTTTGGCCGAGCCGTCAAATGAATTACTTGCCCATGAATAATTGCTTAATCATCAGGGACATAATCCCAGAAAAGTAACAATTATAATTAGGATCTCTAACAAATTTAAGCATAATTAAAATTTGTGAAACATAATTATAATAACACAAAGAAAGTATGAGGAAAAAAATATATTGAAGAGAAACAATATGATTACGCTTGATAAAAGGAAAAAAAAAGAAGAAATAAATTCCCAAGCCAAATTGAGTTGAAACCAAAAAAAAGAAAAAGAAGTCTTAACTAAAAAGTCCATCTCAAGATCTTAATTCTCAAATCAAACTTACATTTAGCATCAATAATTGAAGCCACAGTTGGAATTTTCCCTTTAGGAATTAGTCCATGTATATTAGCACACGTTATTCTAATTCCCACTTTTTTACTTTTCAATTTGTCCATTTGCACAACCATTTTTGTATCCAACAAAATCTTCACTGGCAATCCATTTTTTCTCTTCAGCTCTGACTTCAATGTTGAAACTGAATCAACATCAAGATCTTGAGACACCATTGACAATGTTGAATGTATATAGTCTGATAGACCAAATTTGGTAAACAACAACTCCTCTTCACCAACTTTGGACCAACCAATTGGCGATCTACACCTTCGCCCATACAGAGTCTCTCACAGTGCTACCTTGATACTAGAATGGTAGGTGTTATTATTAGCAAGGTCAATGAGAGGTATGTGATCATCCCAATTACTTTTAACATCAAGGACATATCCTTAACTGTTTGAATAATGCGCTCTGCTTGGCCATCTTTCTAAGGATGAAAAACTTGTACCTAATCATTTCTGAAAGAACTTATAAAAGTTCATTTAAACTGAGCACCACTGTCCGGAATGACGGACAACGGAGTCCCATGCAATCAGACGATTTCTTGAATGTACAACTTGGTATAATCTTCTACTGAATCTGTAGTGTTTACTGGCAAGAAGTATGCTGACTTGGTAAGTCGATTTACAATCATCCAATCAAATCATGCTTTTAAAATGAGCAAGATAATCCCGTTATAAATTTCATATTTACCATCTCCACTCAAAATATGTGTATTCTGTAATAAAGCACTAGACTTTCTGCTGCCCGACTTTCACTTGCTGACAATTCAGACAATTGGCCACAAGGTCTGCGACGTTCTTTTTTTTGTCGTTCAACCAATAAATCTCCTTGGTCATGATACATATTTGGGGAACCTGGATGGAAAGAATACCTGAAATTATGGGCTTCTAACATGATCTTCCCTCTTGAAGTCCATCTATGTCTGGAACACATAATCTGTCTTGGTACCTCAAAGTACCATCATCTCCCCCTTATTCAAAAGCCATCGTGTTATACTTGTGAATCTCCCCTTTCAACCGCAACACGTAGGGATCATCAAATTGTTTCTCCTTCCCTTCGGCTACTAAGGGGGAACAAGTCCTGTTCTAGACAACAACTCCATCATCTTCGGAGTCCGAAGTCGAACTCCTATCTTGGCTGGTGAACTTTTTTCACCAGAGTTCTCTTATCTACCTCAATCATAAGTTATACTTCCTAGACTTTATCTTCTTAAGCACTTCCTGAAAACACTTATAGAATTGTTGTGAGCTAAGTCTTTGACATGTACTCTAAATTTTAGAGTCCCGTGCAATGGTATTACCCTCATAACACATAAATAGGCATGATTTTATAGCTTTTCTGTGATCACTTTATCGTCAATAACTAAGCTCGGTGATCGTTCTACTCAATTTGTGTTTGTTACACATGCTAGACATAATCCCTCTGGTAATTATACAATTTTCCCTCATTACCGAACTGATTTTCTTTTTCATATCCCATGCTAACTATTCGAGTTTCAAATCTCCATATGGACTTACTGATGGTTTTCGCATCACCCTTTAGACCCAAGGTCTTATACTTGCAGATCCTTCCTTTTTTTGTTGGGATCCAAATAACTTTCCTTATTTTCTGCAATTCTTTGCACTCTACGTCAATGACGACTCATCTTCCAACTTACTTCTGAGAAATCTTTCTTACTAGGAAAAACTAAATTATTCACTTATCGAAAAGCTAATGTATTCACAACTATCATACACAATCTTTATAATTTAACTCTGCTCATACTGTCAATCCTGGAGAAACCAGATTACGATAATTCCTAAAGGCTATTCTTCTATAGTTTGTGCTCTCACTGCTAGCTAATTTTTTTCCCACCGCCAATGTACTTCGGGTTTAACTTAAACTCTTTGGGTTCTAACACGCGTTTGATATTTCAAATTGTCATCCACTCACTATAGTTGCATCTCCTTCTATTATATTTCAACATTCACCACTTCTGTTACAAATCTATAAATCTGTTATAAATCTGGAATGTAAAGAGAATGAAGGAGAAAACCAATTTGCTCCATACCTTGCCCTGCCCTGCCCTAACCCATCAATTTTTTTCAAAAAAAATATTTTGCCCCGCCCTGCCCTGCCCCGCCCCGCCCCAATTGCCATCCCTAAACACAGTTAGCCTATGAATTCGTACGACTATTTTTGTGAAATATCCTTACATAATCAAATATATTGATTGAACCACAAACACATTTTAATACAAAAAAGTTCTGAATAACTTCCTAAAAAAAATCCGCTACTTATTCCACACCGAATCAAGTTATAATCATTATTTTTGAAATTTCACACATACTTGATGCCAAACACAGCATTGATCACGATTACAGTTATACAAAAAGAAAAATGCATAAAAGCAAAATAAAAAACATACCAGTTCGCTGGTTCGATGACAAAGAAGATGACAAAGGAGAACAGATTAATTGCAACAAACTACTGAGAATCGCTGGGCAGGAACAAAATCGAACAATGATTTGCATGCAAGGAACGATACTGAGGGAGCGAAATTTGCCTCTGAAATTTTGGCTCTCAAATTTTGCCTCTGAACGAATAAAATAAGGGTTTGGGAATATAAGAATAGAAGAAAGGGTAAAACTGTCTTTTCAAAATAATTTTAATAGAGGAGTGGCTATTTTTGCTCAGCATTAGAATTGGTGGATAAAAAATAAACACCACCTTATTTAGTAGCTACCACACGCCATTTTTACAAAAATATCATGGAATTTCACTTGCCAAATTTAAAACGTTACGGCAGTGGCTATTTTCAAAGGCATGGCAGAAAAGTGGCTACTAGGTACTATTTCTTACCAATCTTATTGGACGGGGCTTTGCTGGATAAAGTACACAAATAGCCACTTTTCAGCTAGTAATTGAAAAATAGCCACTATCATAGAGTTTTAAATTCCAGATGTGAAATTTCTGGACATTATCATAGAGTTTCAACTATAAAAAGTGAAACTCCATAATAATGTTTATTTTTAATTACACGGCCGAATAGTGGCTAATTCGCGCTATTGCTACACTTTTGCGCTAGAAATAGCTAAGGCCCAATGGGTACTTCTGAAACTCACATCTACATGAATAATGGGAAAACTACGTTCGTATAGTCACTCCAAAAAATAATAGCCTGCAAAATATATATTTTATATATATGAATGTACAACATACATAAAATACATATTATATGCATAATCAGTATATATTTTGATATTAGCGTTATAATTATTTTTGGCCGACCCGTCAAATGTATTACTTGCCCATGAATAATTGCTTAATCATCAGGGACATAAGCCCAGAAAAGTAACAATTATAATTAGGATCTCTAACAAATTTAAGCATAATTAAAATTTGTAAAACAGAATTATAATAACACAAAGAAAGTATGAGGAAACCAAATCAAAACTTTTTATTTCCAACCCCTCTGCTTCTTTAAATTTCTTGATATAGGAAAACTTCTAAATTCTCTATTATGCTTGTTCTGCTAGCAGTTTGCAAACAATCAACAACAACAACAACGACCCAGTATAGTCCCACAAGTGAGGTCTGGGGAGGGTAATGTATACGCATACCTTACCTCTACCCCGATGGGGTAGAGATGCTGTTTCCAATAGACCCTCGACTCAAGAAGACGAAAAGACAAAAATATATATATTAAAGAGAAACAATATGATTACACTTGATAAAAGGAAAAAAAAAAAATCCCAAACCAAATTGAGTTGAAACCAAAAAAAGAAAAAGAAGTTTTAACTAGAAAGTCCATCTCAAGATCTTAATTCTCAAATCAAACTTACATTTAGCATCAATAATTGAAGCCACAGTTGGATTTTTCCCTTTAGGAATTAGTCCATGTATATTATCACATGTTATTCTAATTCCCACTTTTTTACTTTTCAATTTGTCCATTTTCACAACCATTTTTGTATCCAACAAAATCTTCACTGGCAATCCATTTTTTGTCTTCAGCTCTGACTTCAAAGTTGAAACTGAATCCACATCAAGATCTTGTGATACAATTGATAATGTTGAATGTATATTAGTAATATTATTTGGTATACTAATAAATCCTGGAAAATTTCCATTTGCTAGAACAATTTGGTTTGTTGATTCAGCTGTTAGAACAATTGGATCATAAGTGTAAATAAGTTTTTTGTTTTTATTTTTGGTAGAGAGAGTTATGTTGAATTTTGTGGTGAGTTTTGTAGTGTCGTCAGAAGTTGTAGTGAGGTTAAATTGCGAGATTTTGAGAGAGGAAATGGCGAACGAAGGAAGTTGAGGGTGGTAAAGGACGTAGAAAATAGCACCAGCAATAGCAGCAAGAAGAAGAATGGAGAAAATGATGAGTACAGACCAAAAACAACATAAACAGAAACATCTACGACAGTTGCAACGACGACGACGGTTGTGTCGGCGGTTTGGTCGGTAAGGGATGACCTTTGGCTTGTATGTTTGATTTTTCATGGTGGTGGTGGTGGTGGTGGTGGGAGTTGTGGTGGTGCCACTAGGTTTGGTTGCCATTTTGGTACAAAGAAAGAACAAAAGTTTAAGAAGAATACGTCGTTATTGTTATTGTTGTTATAGTCTGAACTGAACCTGACTAACTTCGTAACGTTGAGAACCAATCGAACTTGTGCTAATTTTATAATGTTGATTCTATGAAGTGGTAGTAAAGGAGATAGGATAGATAAAGAAGAAAATGTATGAAAGAGCTATCAAGAAACTATATAAATGTTGGTGAAAAAATGAAAATGGTGAAGTGTCAATGTCTTAGTTCTTTGGTTTTTTCTTAAATTTGGTTCAAAACCCTTTTGGTGAGAGACGTGAACTCCATAACCATAAAGGAAATTGGATACATAACAACTCACCAACAATATTTGGCAATCTCCTGGCTGGATTAGTTTGCATATTTTCTTGCCTCTCTCTCTCTCTCTTCTACTCTCATTCTCTAATTATCTCCTCTGCCTATTTAGTTTTTGTGTAACTATATTGTTCTCTTTTACAGCTTGTTTGGATGGTTGTGACGTGTCATTTTACAATATATCATAGTGTATTATATTATAGGGAGAAATTCAAAAATAGCCATAGATTCAAAAGCATTCGAAATTTAGCTACTTTTCATGTAAAGATAAATTTGAACGAAAACACTGTTCAAAATCCGGAAAATATTCTAGCACAATATACTAGAATCTCAGTATAATATGTTGGAACTCCAGTATATTTTATTGGAGTTCCAGCATAAGTATACTGGATTTCCAGCATAATATACTGGAGTTTCAGTATAATATACCGGTCCAGCATAATATGCTGGAAGTTCATACACAGGTGCTCCAATCTCCAGTATATTATGATGGAGCTTTGCGCATATTGGAGTTCCAGCATAATATGCTGGAAGTTCATACACAGGTGCACCGATCTCCAGTATATTATGTTGGAACTTTTCGTGTGGCAGCAAAATAACGGCTATTTTTCAATGACTTTGCAAATGCTGACTATTTTTGAATGACAAGTCCAAAAAATGGCTAGCCCGTGCTATTTAAACTATATTATATTATACTGTATTATTTTGATAAATAAATTTTTTGCATAAATTATACATCGTTTAGCGTCATTTTCATCATGCACCAGTAATATGAAGAAAAAACTTGCAATATCATCAAGAAAGTAGGGTATATGGTAAAATTATTATATAAAGGGTGGATAAATGATAAAATAAAATTATTTAATAATAAGGACGAGCAAGATGAGAAAAAAATTAAGGTAACGACGCGATCACGCTAAAATCGGGCGTTACATATAATGACACTTTTCATTTTACGTGACGACGGATTTAATGATGCGATACGATAAAATTAAGTTACAGTCAAAACAAATATTGTATCTAAAGTAACAATATGATACAATATAATATGTAACAACCATCCAAGCAATTAAAAATTCTTGAGGAGATTATGGAACTTTCATGTAGAAATTAAGGCAAATTTTCATAGAAAAATCAATCAAAACCAAGGTGTTTTACACATCAAACCAGAGGAATACGAGTTGTAGAACTAGTTTTAATCTATAGGCAGTTTGGTTCAAAGGATTAGGTGAGTTATTTCAGAATAAATTTTTGGATTAAATTTCTTTTCATAATTGGTTAGAGGTACTAATTAAAACTGATATTATACCAAAATCTTGGTATATGAAATAAATTATCTAGGTTATAGTCTTGATTTGAACCAATATTTTTTCTAGCTATCTAGTGAGTTGTCTTCTTTACTCTTTTTAATTTTTTTAGTGAACATATTTTAGATTCATTTAAGATTCAATAAAGATTCATTTAAGTTTTAATTATCTCAAATTTATGTATTTAGATTAGGTGCAGCGCACGTTTCATGAAATCTAGGTTTAAGGTGGACACGTTTGAATAATAATAAAAAAAATAACAAAAGGATAAGGGGTATATACCCCCATCATTTTTGAATGTTTGGTAGCTGAGAAAAGGATGTAATTTTGTCGCGAGCTAAAAAGTGTTTATATTAAATAAAGCAATTGAATCATAATTAGTTACAAATTACAAAAAATACCTACTAAATGATAAATGAGTGTATAAAAGATACTTAACTTATTGATGTTCGGTTATAGTTCCATATTTTAATGCATTATTTATCTAACATTTTGGGGCTTTAGCTCTAAACTATACTATATTTGTGCTTAATTTATTTATTTTGTGTGTAGGTATATTGGAGATGAATTTTGAACAAAATGACGAATTTGGAGTACATGGTGAATTAGTCTTAAATAATGGCTTTATGATGGAGGACCAAAATTATTTCAATATGGAAAAGGAACAGAGCAAAGGAGTTGGTTTGGGACAGAAGAAAAACGTGACTTTCAAAGTTAGGCAACAAAGCAAATCAAGAATGAAGCAGTGCAATTGAAACATACTAGGAGCAAGGCCTAGGGAGAGCACGGAGCCGCCGTGGAGGCCGGGGATTCGACCTAAGGAGGCAAGAACATACTAGGAGTAAGGCGGAGAATTCTTCTACGAGTTTTTCACTCCTTCTTCTTATTTACATTATTGGTTATGAATTCTAGTATTGTAATTATGCATACTATTATGAATAGCTAATTTGTTATCTACGGTTTTGATGGAACCTATTGGAGGATGATTTTCCTGTTATGTTAATATAGATTTGCCGTAGTATTTTCTCTATTTGTTCAACTACGTTATTATTGTGGTTGGTTGAAGAGCTCTCAATCGACTGTGCCTATTTAGTGTGTATTACTTGGGAGAGAGTGCACATTTAGGTAGTTGTTGAACTACATCACTCCTAACGTATATGAGGGACCAATACAAAGGGTTTAAAGGTGGGATTAGGGATAACGAAACCTTGGGTGCAATCCGAGTGAGCCGTACTTAATGCCAGCTAGCGTAATTCGGGAGAATATGTCTAGTAAATTGTGGTAATTACTCGGGAGAGAGTTATGACACGCTCATGATCGGTAGATAATACTTAGGCGAATTTATAGAAAACGTAGCGGGAAGGATTCCGACAATAGGGAAAATCTAACTCTAGACCTCCTTAATCTTGTGTCTAACCCTTAGTATCTTTAGTTGTTAATTTACTATTTTAATTTGTTAGTTAATTAGTTAAACACAAGAATCATAATATCTATAAGTTAGGAAGTGTTCAAGCTTGTCTTCTTGGTAATATTGAACATATGTAGCTAAGCCTTAGTTCTCTGTGGGATTCGACTCCGAACTTGTAAACCGTATTATATTTACAACGACCGCTTAGTCCTTTTTATATGGCATAATTGGACATAATCACTTATATTTATAGATTTGATGTAAACACCAAGCGCGAATAAATTTTACCTAAAAGTCTCAATTACAAGAGTAACATCCATTTAGTTTTGTATTGATTTTGCTATACACCTCAAAATTACAAGCCTACATAATTACTCACAAACCTCATCTTAGGCATGCTCGAACTTGATAACATAGAGTCCAACAAACAGATGCAGATTTAGTATTTAAATTGGATGAATTCGATCATTAAAATTTTTCTTGAACATTTGAAACTATGAGTTCTGAATATAACATTTTATTGAAATTTTAATAGCTTTATATAGAAATATATATTCTGTATGGAAAATTTGAGATCTTTAGGTTTTAATTATATACTTTTTCATGAAAATATAACATTTTCCGGGATTTTTACATATATAGTTGGCCGGGTTCACTGATTATATATCCTTACCGGTATACATAGATTACACATTGATTATACTCACTTATACAAATGTTATACATGAATTTTACACATATTTTTAAGATAAATTATTGAGTAGAACTATTTAAATTAGTTCTTCCCTTTTTTCTACAGTTAATTATCCCCTTAATTATTGGGTAACTCATAGTTTTTTCCGTTGTTTAAGTTAGGGAAATGTCACGACCCAATTTTCATTATAGGCAGTGATGGCGCCCAACACCGTTGTTAGGCAAGTCAACACTGATCAAACTAGTGGTTTCCCGTTTAAATAAATTAGTAAGTGGATATTACTTTCTCATTTATTAAAAAGATTTAGAAATTTGCAAATGGAACCCAATTAAACGGAGGCAAATGAGTACAAATAGTAATCATGCAAGCAAATCCAAAATCATAAGTCTACTAGTGTGTGTGCCAAGACCTGGTGTCACAAGTATGTGGGCAATCTAGTAGAATATATAAAAGAATGATAGCGTACTGTTTGAAAGGAAATAGACAGAAAAATAAAGCATAAGTGAGACTCCAGCTGCTGCAGAACGGCTCAGAAGACAGCTCACCGTGCGTTCTCGAGATGGGGATCAAATCTGCACACCAGACTGGTAACCAGATGCACCTCCCTCAGATCCTATACAATTAAGTACAAAAGTGTAGCCTGAGTACATAAATAATATGTACCAGTAAGTATCTAGTCTAACCTCGAAGAAGTAGTGACGATTGGTCGACTCCGACACTTACTAGGGCCAACAATATAATAATATGAAGTTCTAATTAAGCATGATATGTAGAGATAACAACAAAACTCAGAATAAGAAATACCTGAACAATGTTTCACCACATTTAAGAACCAAAATTACTTCCCTCGTTTAAAACAAATGATCTCTCCAGCAATGAAGCTATACCAATTATAAAAAGGGGCTTAGTTCTATTATCACACACAAAACTCCGCCAAGGACGTTCGGCCCGATCCAACATAAATGTAAATTATACAATGCCGAGGGTCGAACGGCGCGGACCATAGATGCATCTATTAACCTGCCGAGACGATCGGCCCGCTCCCATGAGAGTAGTAGAAGGAATTACCCCGCTCGCAAAACATGCTTGTGACGCGGTGAAATATAAATTTATTAATAAAACATAACCCCTTTCTTGATTCTTTTCAAAATAAAGACAATTCAACTTGAAGCTTTTAAATCCTTAAAAATCCTCAACTTAGTTCCATGTGATACAATTATCAAATATAATCAAATAACGGTGTCCACAAAGCATGGTGTAAACCTAAAACTATCCAGACATAAAAAAGAATAGTAGCTACATACGGACTCTCGTCACCTCGTGCGTACGTAGCCCCCCACAAATAACAACACATATTAGTTAAGTTCACCTATGGGGTAAATTCCCTCTTACAAGGTTAGAAAAGAGATTTACCTCGTCTCAAAGCCTACTTCCAATTCAAAAATGCGCTCAAATCTTCAAATTTGATGCCAAACGACTTGGAACTAGTCAAACATTATATAAATCAATTAATCTATGCTC